ACTTTGAACAATAGACCCGAGATATCTAAAACATTGAATTCTTTTGATCACTCATTGTTACAACCCCACAATTACATCTATTATTACTAAAATTACATTTGACGCATTCAATTTTAGATCTATTCAAAAGAAAATCTTTAGACTTTAAAGTTGAACTTCATAATTCAAGTTTTTTTCTGCTAGTATTATCCACAAAATGAAAATCATCAACGAAGAACAAACAATAATGTACATTCTCCTGTAAATAACCAGTAATAACATTCATAACTAAAGCAAAACAGATATGTTTTTAAAATTGATCTCTCATTTAATCAAACTGAAATAGAAAAATACTTGGTTAATACTGGATCACAACGAATCTACGAGATGAACATTTAGGACGAAAATTCTTTGAGGATATTTTGATTAAATTTCTATTATGATAATTTCAAAATTCTTAGATTTGTTTATATGTATATGTATAGTGTAGATGTAATTATAAATTTAGTTGATTATTTTTGTATTGTACCATTTTGATCAAATTTTAATTAGGCCATCCTCATCCAATCATACTCCTTAGTCAATTCGCTTATTATACTCAATAATGTTTAAGTGCACAAATTATTAATGTATTTTATCGCTTAATACTCACTTGTTTACGCCATTTTCATAAATCAAAAATTAATTTTAACTAAATTAAAATTAGAAGGTAAAAATTTTAATTAAATGACCCCACAAAATTCATATAGTACATTTATATTAATTAATATCATTTTAATATATAATCCATATTTTACTAAAGTTTGGAACAATCCTTCTCTAATGTGGTTAAAAATGAACAAGGCTGATGAATAAACGAGATGATTGTTTCATAAAGATAATATTAGTCGATAAAATCAAGTAAAATCATTAGTCTTATAATGAAATGTATTATAATCTTTTCATGAATTAATTCATTATCATAATATATTATTTGCCTATAAAAAATGATTTTTTAGTTATCTAATAAGACTAATTAAGTCTTTTTTTTTTAAAGGTAGTCCATGAAATATTAGATTATTGATCATGATCATTCATTATCATGATTATGAATTAACATTTAATTAACTTTGCTTCATCAATTACTTCATCACTACATGGGTCATTTTAGTCCAAGAGTTTATAGAAGTATCGAAATAGTCCCAAGCTATTTTAAAATTGAGCTTTAATAATCTTGTACAGGGACTTTCAGCACTAATGTAAAGAGCTTGATAACTATTTTGATACTTCTATAAACTTTGAGACTAAAACAGTCCTATGTAAATAATTGAGAACTATTTTGACACTTTACTCCTAATTAAAATAATTTACATAATTGTGTCTCACTAGCTAGCATGATAAGGCTAATCTTCACTACTCATGTACAACAAATCAAGGTGTTGTTCGGCCGATCACCGTGCAAGCGAAATTTCTTTCGAGAGTGAGATTTCAATGACCCCCAAATATCCTTATGTGTATTTTACAATTTGCCTCGAAAATGTATATTTTTTTCTCCAAAGCATTGTGAATATTATTAGTCCTAAATCAGCCGTGGGAGCATCCACAACTTCAACCACCACCGATCTGTCACTATGCCATCCATTGCTCTAAAAAAAATATCCAAAACCTTTAAGGTCAAATCATTACATCATATAGCCAATTTTTCAACTTGAGCACAATTATTAATCTCAATAATTCAATATATTATGGACAAATGATAATAATTGTCTTTTCTTTAGATTACTATTGTGTACCTAATGGGTGACTCGCTCTGAAGGGTGACAAAGAAGTTGGACTAGACTCAACATGAGCTCGCTAACCCTGGCCCAATATGAAACTTATCAACTAAATTCTAGGTGTCACATCACACAAGAAATTCTATTATATGTTTGTTAAAGAAAAAATTACTACGTTCGGAGTTC